TATCCTGTCTTCTAAGAACTTACTTATACAATACTATTGTATAGCTAAACCTTCTGTAATACTACTGTCATACATATTACCTTCACTCTGCAAAGTCAGTCTCTTTCTAGAAATTCTTAATCTGTTTTTGTACTTTATCTTGGAACTTTTTATAGGACTTCATATTCAATTTGACTTTTTATAAGTTACAGAATTAAAATCCTAAGATTTTTGTCTTCAATTTAACTTAAACTATTAACCTAGTTTATAAGAGATTAGCAGCTTTATTATTAAGCTATAGAGTCTAATTCCTTTTCTTTAGAATTAAAATCCTATTAAATAAACTTTTTACTTTATATATTTTATATAAATATTATTACTTATATTTACTTATTTGACACTAATATTATCAAATTAATTTTAATCTTTATTGAACAATCTGTTTATCCAATTAATTACTATACAGTCTTATAGATATTTCATTACAAGATATTTTTAATACTAAAACACTTAATACTATATCAAATACTATAGTTTATTTACATAACCAAATTAAGCTATTAAGTAGAATAACTATTTATAGTATATCAAATATACTCTCAATTTTCTTAACTCTAACAGATCTAATATTAAATAAACTTATTGACATTACTGCAAGCTTGTCATCTAAAAAGTAACTAGGTTTATACAAATCTTTTCTTCTAACCAAAATTACAATATCACTACAACCTAGTTTTATTTAATTTTTTCTTTCAAAAACTCTTTTATTAGCTCATTAGACCTCCTTTCTTTTATCTTAACTTATCTTTTTCTTTACAAAATTTTCTATAATAATAATCAACAAATCTTTTTTTTACAACAAACTTATTTCCAACAAACCAATTTCTACTAACTTCAAAATCACTTATTTGGATTTATTATAATTACTTTTATTTTACTTCCAATAATTTCAAACTTTCAATCTATTAGTATTCTCTATAATCAACTTAAACTCACTAAAGACTTACTACAAATTAACTTTAATAAAATTCTCTCACTTATCCATATTAACAATCATACATCTTTTTAACTCTTACCTCTTTCTTATCTCTCAGTAAACCTAATTTCTCCTGAAATACAACTCATTTAACAAACTATTAAATTAACTTCATATAAAAATTAATTAATCAAACTCTATTTTTTAATTAAAAACTCTAACTTAGACAATCTAATTTTTTATACTGACAGTTCTATTAAAAACTGTCAAACATTAAATATTAAATCAGGCATAGGCTGAATTTGTAAAACAAACATCAATATAAATTTTAATGCAAGTACAAAATCATATACTAATATTAATTAAACTAAACTTGAAGCAGTTTTATTACTTTTATTAGTTATATCATTAAATATTACTGTTATAATTCATCATGACAACTAAACAGCAATTAAAAATCTGCAACATATCTTCTTCTTAAAACAATTGTATATTAAAAATTGAGATATCATCTTCTTTATCAATTATTTTAAAACTTTTAAAAATCTAATATATAATTTTTAAAAATTAAATTATATACAAATTCATTTTATAACCAAGCAGACTTCTTAGTCAAACAAGAAACTTCCAAACCTATTCTTAAACTATCACTGCCAATTACTTCAATTTATTTTCTATAGAATAATCATCTTATATCATTCAAAATTTATAATTTTATTAAAAATATTATTACAATTCAAGAACTTTTATTCTAGTCTACACTTAAACATTTCCAAAACATCACAAAAACTAACTGGGTTCTTAACTTTCAAATAATTAAATCTATAAAACATGACACTCAAAATATTCTTTTCATATCAAAATTCTTACAAATAACCTACCCACTATAGAAAATCTTTATATATACTATTCTTAGCTTTATACAACATTAACATGCTCTCAATATACAAATCTTGAAGATACACTCTATCTCTTTTTCTGTGTAGACAATAATATTAATATAAACCAAGCAATTTTCAATACAATTCAATTAATACTTACCTCACTTTAAATATATAATAGCTTAGTACTCTTTATTTTTAATATTATTATAAACTTTATAGCCAATCTTATCAATTCTAATTACCAATTAATCTTATATGCTATATCTGGCACTTTCTCTATAACAATCTACAATAATATTAAAGTTCTTTTAAACAAATAAACAAATATTTTTTTAATCAATCTTGTTAATAATCTTCTTATCTGATACTATCAAGATTTATAGTTTATATACAACATATTTCAATATTAATAAGAACTTGTTTAAAATATAACTACAAAAACTAAACATACAAAAATTTACTTTTTAACAATATTTATCTCTACTAACAATTTCTTAAAAACTATACAAACTTTCAACATTATATCTACTCTTAACAAATAGCTTTTACAAGGTTTTACTCTAACTACATGCTTTATATATATAATATTTTAACTTTCATGTAAAGTTTTCTCTAATCTACTCTAGCTAGAAAATAATTTAAAACAATTATCTATAACATTCTTTAGAAAATAAGAGGTATAATATCACATTGGGTGTCTATTTTTTAGTAACACAAATGTAATTTGAAAATCTTTATTTTAAAAATTTTTTTCTATAATTAAATTTCTTATTGTATTTTAAAGTTTCTATTATAATATTATATAAATAAATAAATAAAAAAAATAACTACAATACTCATTATAAAGTTTTTATTTTATCTTAATTAACAAATCTATTACAAAATCTGAATTTTTTAATGTATTTCAAGATCTACAACTCAACCTTTTGAATACAACTTATTAACAAATGCTATTTTATTCTTATTATATTCTTTTTTATTTAATTCTATAAGATCAAAAATAAACTCTTGATATATTCAATAGATTAAATATCAAACTAACTCTTTACATAGAATTACTAATATCTAAATTTAGATAAGTCTTGGCTATTTTTGTTAATTTAAATCACAGATAAATTAGTTTGGGCTTCTATTCTTTCTATAATATTTTACAAGCAAAATTATACTTTATATAAAATCTTAATTAAATATTTAATAAAGATAAAAATATAACCTTACTATTAATATTAAAAATAATAATAATAATAATTCAAAAACATCTCTTAAATTAGAAGATTCTCTAGATGTTTTTAGAAATCTTATACACTAAGTAAAGATAGAAATAATAAAATAAAAAAAATGAATATATTTTTTATATATCTTTTTTTATCTTGTAAGAAAGGTATAAATCTATTTTTATAATAAAAAATTAATGTTTCTTATTTTTTTACTATAATATATATAATAACAAATTATTTTGTTTTTTAAATTAATAGTGTTTTTATAAAAAAAACTTTCTTTATTGCAAAAAATATTATTAATTTTATCAAAAATTGTCTTTTTGATCAAATAATAAAAACTACATTATGTTTGAAAAGCTGGTTAGAATTAGAAACTATAAAATAAAATATAATAAAATTAGAGTTGTTATATTTATTATATTTATTTATTAATTATAATTTTACTTTTTTATTTTTTAATTAGGTATTTGTAGTACATAGTAAATTTTATATAAATATATTTTAAATTTAATAATAGATATTTAAATATTACAAATTATTAAAAAAATATTGAGACCAAAGAGATCACTTTAATACCAAAAAAAAATAAATAAACAAAATTTTTTTTTTTATAAAAACAAAATATTGAGTATTTTGTTATTTGTCAACACAGGTAGTGATAAATAAAAAAAAACTATGTATCTTTTATCATTATCATTGATTTGTATCTTCACGTGATTCAAATTCAAGTCTGAAGTCTGGTACTGACTCAACTTTTGGAGTCGGATTAGTTCGGACAGATAATTTAACATTCCTATCCGAATGGACCCTAGCTGTTTGGGGGTCATCGCTTAATTCGGACAAGGGGGACGATCGCATCCGTCGATCGGTTGCATGTGATATATGTAACGAATGTGACGGACATCAGCGATCGGTTAGATGGGTATTTTGGTGAATGTCAGTGGGATACAACGTATCAGTAGAATCAAAGATATCAGTCGTATCCCTCACATAATGTAAATAGAGATTTTTAATTATAAATAAAGGCCGAAAGGCCCTTTGGGAAGAACAACTTCCCCTTTGCAACTCATAACTAAAACCGTTAATTCAAAAATCACCCGTAATAAAATTACTCGTCGATAATAATAAACCGATATCTTTATTACACATACTCGTTACTACATACTCTGTCCCTAACTAGTAATTACATAAATTTCGCTAGTGTATTTGACCGGCACTGAACCCGAAACCTCCTTTACCGATAGAACTCAACCATTACCAAGCGAACCACTCGACAAATCTAACACACCTCTTTCGACCCGAATTAACCCTCCCAAGTGGTTACACGAGAAATCCCAGCGTGAAGCGACTGACTCGCCGTTTTACGTTTACAACGGAGCTTTTTATATTAATAAGAGAGCGAAACGAAGTGGAGCAAGAGGCGCATGATCAAGAAAATTATCAAGAATATGGTGGTATATATACACAACGCAACCAATTTCGTGAAACTCTGAACTCATCAAATTGGATATATGTAGTGTTCTATTTTTGTGTTAAAAATGTGTAATATAGACATTTTATCGCCTTTATTTCTATATTACAAGGACACGTTGATTTAAATAAATCTTGCATAAACAGATGTATTTTTAAACAGGAAACGAAGGCTTTTTATAAATTAGCAATGTAAAATAGTATTATATTAATATTATAGTTTTATAGTAAATACATACATATTAAATATAATATGTTTACTTAAAAAACATTTGTAAATACAGATAGATAATCCTTTCTGAACAATTTGTATTAATGATTGTGATTATGGTAAAATTTATGATTATTCATAAATTTTATAAAATTAAATTTTTTATCTCCCTGAATACACCAAATAATACTGTAACCATAAAACATTTAATTAAGAGTTAAAGGAATTGTTTGATATATAAATGTTTGATAATTATTTCTTTATACATAATCCTCTACATCTAGATCCATTACCACTAATCTTGTGGCTTCAACTGCCTTAAGATCCGCACATTTAACATATAAATCTGTGTCGATCGGAAATTTGTATCCACATGCTAGACTTTGAAATGTAATTACGCGTTTGATGATTGTAGCTGCAGTACGATGTTTTTGGAAATTAACGAGTGGTTGTTGAGGAAACGGTGCATAGGCATGGGACCATGATGGAGGTTGTGAAGCCGGATCAATAAACGATGGTAAGGCTGCGTTAAAAACTAAATCGGATAAATATAGAGCTGTGGAAAAAGAAAGTGAGAAAATACAGCTAACAGAAGGAAATTCCTTGATTGTTTTAAATTAATGTGTACCTAAAAAAGGAATGCATCCAGTATTTGCTTTTTTCACATCGGAACTACGCCTTCGCCGTTTAGTTGGATCTTTTACCATTGAGGAATCTTCTACAACTCGGCGCATAGCATCTCTCACCACCTTCCAATTGCCGAAAGGTGATATGTATTCATTTAATTCCTTAAGAATGCGTCTCTCTGCCATGCGAACACGAGTCCAAGTTCGACGGAGACGTTCTACCGGTGGAGATTGTAATCCAAGGAGAATTTGATTTAAGGTTGCAAAATTTGAAAATTGTAGGCATTTCTTTTCAAAATAGGAATAATAATACGTTGTCAATAGTCATGAATAAAAAAAAACGTATGACTGAAAACGGTTTCAACTAAATGGTATTTAGTACGATACACAACCTGTGCAATACGTATGAACTTTTCAATCACTCTCACTCTATCTTCCAAAGAGTGTGTGAGCATAATTTCGGTAGCAACCCAATCAATTGTCTAAAAATGGTTTACATGTTAATTAACTGTTTCAAATTTGATTGATTTTGCTCTAATAAGAACAATGATAATACGCACCTGATTGAATCTTTCAATGACTTTGTCTACTCCTCCATCTTTTATTGGCTTGACTTTAATCTTTTCTTCATCTATTTCAGATTCAAATTCTTTGCTTTTTCCTTTAACATCCTTTTTGGCCTCTTTTCGAATGTCTTGAGTATTGGAATCTTTCTCAACGTCATTATCATTATTGTTTGTGTTTTTATTACCATTAGTCCAGCTAACTTGAACTAACTCTTCCCATTGGACTTGCATAAGTAGGTCTCTTTCAATTAAACAAAACTGTTTTGCAACTGCTTCTGATCTATATGACAGTATAAAAGATTTATATGGATGTTGTCGGGAACTTGGAACTGTTGATGAAAAAGATGATGCTATTCGAGTTTGAAGACTGGTAAATGAATGTAACGACAACTACTTATCAGATATTTGTTTTATAAAACATTCTTACTTGGTCCTTGACTAACACTCGGTTCAGTAATTGTGTGAATTGGAGTATGTTTTGGCCTTTTAGAGCGTGAAGCATTACCACCTTTATTGTTATTTGTGCCTTTTTCAAGGGCTATTGTTTCTGCAGAATTTTTAAGTGGTCTAGAAGCAGTGTGCCTGGTTCGATGGCGGGCCCCACTTTCTTGAGATCCATTCTTAGCAGGCCCTCTACGCCTTGACGTTGGTGCCGTTTTTGATGTTGACCGAGAAAGTGACGCCAAGGAATCAGGTACAGAGTCTGCTGTTGCACCACCGCCTTCAACACCATAAGAAGAGAAAGTTCCCCAGGAGACGCGCTTGCCGGACTTTTCATCTAAATCTTTGAGGTTGGTAACTGAACGTAAATCGGGTACTTTTGGAAGTCGACGAAGGGTACGAATATTATGGTGGTCACCTGATTCTTCTTCATATAAATCATCATATTCTTGTTCGAAAGATTGCTGAGGAGAAAAATTTGGATCCGTGTCGTCATCTTCCTCAACTTCTGAAACACTTGCAAGATAACTTTGTTTGCGAGCTGGTTGTTGGTCATCATCTTTTTGTGATCCGTTTGATGAACTTTGTGACACAAAATAAGTGTCAGTCTCTGATGATTGTGTGGGTTGATCTATATCATCCTCAACTTCAATCACTGGAACTAAATAATTCCAAACTTTACCCCTTCTACGAGTAGTACGGGATAATTGGCGACTGTCTCTTGGCTCTTCATAATCTTGTTGAAGTATATCATCATCGTCGCTTTGCTTATCTTGAGAAAAGGTGGAAAATGTGGGAGGGTGCGAATCAATTGGTGACGATGTTAAACTCTCAAAATTCGTGTCATCTTGTGTACTTTGCTGTTCATCGTACCATTGTTCAAATTGTTGTTCTATTATCTCAGATTCTTCTGGATGAGACGTGTCGTGATATTCTTCTTCGACAGACTCATCCACGTAAGAAAATCCATCGACATGATAATGATATTCATCTCCATTAAAATGTTTTGGGCTAGTGCCATCTCCCCAAGATAGGTCAGAGTCAATCTCTTCAGTGCTGGCTGAACCAGAAGATGTTGCGCATAACATGCTAAGCCTACCGAATTTCATTGTCCGAAAATCACCTTGAATGCCACCACACTTTGTCGATGTTCCTGATTGAGTAGCACCTTTATTTTTTTCACCATTAAATAGTCCTTTTGCGAATTTCCCTACTGTGATTGACATCTTTCGAGGCCACGATGGACGTGCGGCGGGGCGACGCCAATTTTGTTCTTGAACTGGTGGATGATTTCCAGTTCTTGAAGAATTTGAACCAATGAATGCAGGTGATGAATTTCTTCTGGTTATTCCACCTGCATGATCAATGTTAAAAAGATCAAATTCATCACTATCATCGTCATCATCATCTTCTATGATTCCACATATTGCTTCCGAAAAAGACATGCTTCTCTTCTTACGAGAATTAGGCAACGAATAATCCACGATTTTTTCTTGTGGAATAGCCTTTTTAGGTCTCTTCAAAGGAAAATTGTTTTTTAAAAACCCACTTTTAAAAAATGAAAGTGATGCAGATGAAACATCAAGTGTATGCCTTCTGCGTCGTGGTGGAAGTGGTGGAGGTTCTTCTTCAGATAACGGATATTCATTCTCATTTATTGCACCTCCTAATTGATTAAATATATCTAACCTTCTTTGTGATAAATCACCCATTGAATTACTTCTCTTCTTCCATTTATCTGCTTTTCTCTCTGAATGTCTTAATAGATCTATTGGAACTGCCAACCGTTCTGGCATGGATGCCCGTGGTGCTTTTTTGCTGCTCACACCAGCGCCATCATCTTCATATTCATCAACATTATTGTCCGTATAAATGTCATCCCCTAATTCACTAGAACTAGTTGGTAAATTCTTTGGTAAATTCTTTGACCATTTTTGACCGTATAACTCATCAATTTGATCATGTGTGGCTTTAGAAGATAAATCTTCATCACTAGTATGTGAATTACTACTACTAGAGTATATAATGTTCTGATGAGTTTTCTTACGAGTTACACCACTAATATTAGGTGTATAATAATCAATTGCTTCCGATTCCGAATCGGTTGTTCCTGGAGTAATTGTTGAATCCAAAGATGAAGATGATGATTGATGTCGTAATAAATTTGATTGTTTTTGAGTTACGGTGTAATAATTACTGCTGTCATATGAGACGGTAATATCCGCCGATTCTTCTATTAATGATGTACCTACACCACTACCACCTCCACTATCGACCATCATTTTGTCTACGTCAAGATCTTGACTTGTTTTCTTATGGAATGATGTTTCGGTCAATTTTTCATTATTCTTTCCACCCAATTGTTTCTTGCCAATGCTAAATATATCGTCATTTTTTTTCACAGAGTTCATATCATTCTTACGAAAATATACTCTTTTTAACCTCCTTATAACCCTCTTTAATCCCTGTACTATCCTTTGATCACGTGGCGATTTTTTTATCACTTGATGTGAAGGAAGGCTATTTAGATATTTAGTCAATGTAGTTCGTAGAGCGCGACATGGAATAAAATCATAAGCGAAATAATTTAAAAGCCAGTGACGTATAGTTACAAAAGTCCTGTATAGAACAAGAAATAATCCACATTGGGCGTAATTAGGTTAAAAACCTTCAATTATCAAATTATCTTTATACGAATATCGTACCTGACTCTTACAATCCTTCTCTCTGCATCGTCATCATCAAGTGCCCAATCGAATCTTAAGATCAATAATTTACATAACTTTATTGGTGTGATAAATTTTCGATATGTTAGGAAAAAATCCGTCAAGAAGGTGTAATCTTTTAATTAGTAGTTATTAAAAAGGATGAATATGTCAATATAATTTTTTATAATAATAATTGAAGTAAACAATTGAAATATTATAATTAACACACCAATTCCACTTGTTAATTTCTCAATCAATTTTTCAATTGAAGCTGCAATTATGACCTTTCCTGTTGATGATGATGATGATATAATTGAACTGTCGTTTTTTGAGCCTCTCCTTTGAGTGCGTAAAGTCTCGTGAAAACTCCATCGTTTTGAATTATTAGATGAAATCGAAAATGTGGAACCATGCTTTATTTCCTGAGCTCTGGATTTTGACCAAACGATAAGTCTAGGATCATCATCCGACTTTATTTGATCGAAAATTTCTTTACCATAATTAGTTGAAATGAGTGGAGGTACCTCGGGAGTTTGTAACGGTTTAGTCATTTTACGCATTGCATCTGTCACTGAAAAGCCATGAGGTACATGAAATGTTGATTGCGTTTTGTAAGGATATTGCCCTTTAGATTGTTGAATATCTCCCTCTTGGTCAATTGATGTATCAAATATTATTTCGCCACCTTCTACCATATTGTCCTTTATCGATGAGCTACCAACTTGACCTGATATTTGAGCAATAGGTCCCTGACCAGGTTGAGCTGGCCAGTTGAGTATTCTAGCAAGCATGCGAAATTCTTGATCAGAACTAGGCATTGCAAAGGGGTCATAGTGCTGCATCGAAGTCGGAAGGATTATTTGAGAGTTCGGGCGAGGTTTAATTGGATCGCTATATTCCTTTGGTCTGAATGGAGTAGGAGCGGATAAACGATGTTTACGCAATGATCTATTGTCACTATCATATATAAAACAGAAAATATATTACAAATTAGAATTCTGAAGATAGACGATTCGAGGCTGATATCACGATCCACCAAAATATATCGCATTTTATGTATTAAAACCCCACATGGAATAATTCTTCATAAGAGATATTCATGTTACTTAAAAACCACTCAAGATCCTTCTCGAACCTCTTAACAAAGCATATGATTACTACATAAGATTCCAATTAAATCGTTATTTCTTATTTTTTGACTTAGTGCAGTCAATAAAGATTAAGCCACTTAATACCTCGAATTCAAAATCCAAAGACTGACCAATTGATTTTTTTTTATACATTGATAATAGTGAATTTAAAGAGTCGAGGAAGGTATGTATAAATGTACTAAACATCGTTTTCTTGAGCATTTGATCTATTGATTTCGAATTTTGTCGATAGTTTAATAATTCTTTATACAAAATTTGCGATAAATAGGCGCCTTTCCAACGATAATTGCATTCGCATACGTCGTTCCTAGATCTCCAATTTCGAATCAAAAAAAAGCATTACCTCGTAGTAACAACATCTTCTAAGTTCATGAAAAGCTCACTGTCGCTTAATTGAGAACGCGATATCGATTCTTGATATTCATTAATATCAGTATCAGAAGTAGACGTTATAGGGAATATACCGGAGGTCATACGTGACGCGGTGGCATTAATAATATTAGATAAAGGTAGTTCTGAGGCTTGTTCTGTCGTGTCTTGTGGAATACTTGTTATTTCTAGAGGTTCATTAATACTGGATTCTTCAGTAATTCTGTGATTAGAACCTCCTATATCATTATTAACGTTTATATCACTACTGTTGCTTTCCCCCGTGTTGTCCTCATTATCAGGCACGATATTATTGTCCATTGTCAAGAATTGCTATACTTTATTATTTTCCAAGTTAATAAGTGCATTAAAAAGGCTATTTCACCGAGACTTTCGGAAGTTTATGGCGTCTGGTTCGCGAATAATTTTGACGATTATAATTTTTTGCATAATAACCTAACAGCTAATATGATAATTTAAACAAGCATATCATGAACTACAACCACGATTGGACAGATATATATATCAAAATTGATATAGCCTCGATTTTTGTTTAAACACAAAAGAGAAATATTAACTAACCTCCAGGGACGAGGGCATCCTGTTGATTACCAGTACAGATATTTATAAATTTAGACAAAGTTTGTCAGGTGTAAGCACGGAATGTACAAAAAAGTCAACTTTATCAGGTGTGTATACCTTTTTACAGGTAATATGCTTATTATGCTAGGTGACATTCAAAGATTCCATTTTCTGATATATGCTCATTTATTTAAGCCCTATCAAAACCCATTGCTATATAATTAATATTATTTTTAGTATAACGATGATGATACAGGATCTAATATCAATATTCGAATTGAGTTTAACCAATACGAACCGTTTATATTTAATAAAGGTCGAAAAATGGCTCGCAATTTCGGTTGCGTAAATGCGCGCTTGTTTATTAAAGAATTTCCATATGCAAATCGTAATAAATAGTGCAACTTACAATATGTAAATCATTAGTATTAACAATTTCTCATTATTGTAATGAAAAGTCTTTTTGAAGATAAATCTTGTTTGATGGTATTTGACAATTGTAGAAATTCATAATTTATATTTTTTATATAAGAAATCTGTAATTAAGTACCGTATGTACGTGCGTATGTATGTCTATATGTATAAATTAAAATTTTAAACTTTGATACTATAACAAAATAGTAGAATTTAAATTATACTGATTATTTTAATTTTCTAACGCTAAAATTCACTAATCTAAATCCATATAAATTTAAAATTAAATATAAATTAATGTGGATCATGATTGGATTATCACAAAGTAGTTTCCTTTAAAAAATATATATACATAGTACAAATTAATTTTACACAATAACGGAAATGATAAATATATTTATTAAAATACACGATTCTTTTATATCACGTACTACAACTAAGCAACCTGGGAGTACCGGATATTTATAAGACTAGCTCCTTATGTATGTACGTACGTACAATTATTTTTACCAACATTCAGTTGTTTTATTTGGTATTTTCTGACCAAGATACTACCTTGATACAACTTTTTGAAGTACAGTCAAACCTATATAAGTGCATTCTCTTGAAACTACATAAAGATAAATGTGGATTTAGAGAGGGTATGCTAGAATTAGTGTTTTATTACATGAATTTTGGGGTATTCTTATGTGAAAATTATTTTCGTATCCCATATTTTTATGTCTGAATATGCAATTAACTATATAATTATGTATTTGATATACGTATAATTTTACAAATTATATATAATAATATTATCAAAAACTATAATTAATTTTGTCAATGGTTTTTTTTTAACTAGCCTTTTTGGCTTTTTGGTTACAGTTTTTATTAACTTTTTGAATTACAGATATTTCTTGAAATCATCTGACAATGGTGTATTTAACTAAGATACAGATAGCCACTTATATAATTTTAGTTATTGCCTCTATAAGTACATTTTTTATAAGTGCACGTTCTTTCTAAATATATGTTTAAATTTAAATAAATATATGTATAATTCTTATAAATGTATTTTTTCTTATTGTTTTTTAAATACATATTGTTAAATTTTAGTTTTTAAAAGTATGCATTTATAGAATTTTTATTATATTATTTGAATTTTTGCAATTAATCTTATTTGCTAAGTAGGTTTTATATTTGTACAAACAGTTATAGTATTATTTTTTCTGTTTTTTTTTTATTTAGTAGTTTTGTTTTTTATTTAAAATAAAGTAAAAAATTTTTAAATTTTATATACAATAATATAAAAGTTATATTTTTAATATATTCTATATTAAAACATCAAAAATATAATTCTGAATTTTTGTTTTATAGACAATTAGATAAAGTTAGTTTGTTAAAATTAAAATAGCTAATATAGTATTAGTAATAATTAATTTTATAAATATATATAAATACAATTTGTACTATTCACAAAAATTTTTATAAACTGACTTAGCTCTATATTTTTCTCAAACCTTATTTTTTATCTTTTAATTATGTTGTTTTTTCTAATAATAGTATTTTTTTTTCTATTTATATTCTTAATAATTTTATTAAAAATGTTATCTGCAATCATAAGAATATTTGTTTATTCTTATAAGATATAAGCATAACATATAATTCTATAAATTTTGTTCTTTTTAAATATTCATTTTTTTATTTCTTATCTATTATTAACATTCTTTCTAATCTTCTTTCTGATTATTATAACTAAGTTATTACTGATTTTGGTCTTACTACTTTTTATTCTGTTCATAATAATATTAATTAAAATAAAATAATCATTTTTTTATTATATCTAATTTTTTTTTTTTTGGTATTAAGATGACCTCTTTGGTCTTTTGACTTTTATTAATCACTTATTGGTATTGTGATTCAATGAACCACTACAGGAGAATGTACAATTGGTTACATGTATAACTTTTCTATATTACCTATTTAAGGAGTTTGCCCAAAGGTTCTCTACCAATTGCCATACCTAACACTCCTGCTTAAGTGTTCCACTTTAAACCTTCTGAACCTGTAATCTGTATTAACATCACTGAGTTATTCCAGATACCCAGATTATTGTCTCAACCTTAGGACTAATTTATTCTCAAGGTAAACTCCTCAGAACCTTCTGTATCCATTTTTACAGCTGACCTAGGTATCACTATAGCAGAACCAACACTTGCAGTCAGAGCTGATCATTAAATTGCTATGCTCTTGTAGAGTTTACACAAACTCCAGTATTTACTTTACAGTATATCTAAAATACTTTAGTATACTCCTGCTAGTTCACTAAACTTCTAATTTAGATAGCCTAGTAGGACTTATGACTGGTCTATTGGTATATCAGGTCAGCTTGATATCCTTTTCCTCTAGCTCAATCCAGTAGCCTGGTTGGTAGTACTCTCCATCTAGAGGTTTTTGCCTGTCCGGCTACTTTGACCTTAGTATCCATTTCATAAGGCTAGCCTTTACAGTAGGGTCATCAAAAATCTGACTACCTCTCTACTTGGGTTTTCCCAAATGAACTTCTTGTTATCCAATTTCAACAGATTTACACAGCTACAAGAACTTATCTAATGTTTACACTGCCCTATTGTCAGATTGTATTTCTCTGTATAATATCATACTTACACAGATGCTCTATAACTTGCCAGTCATGCTAGTGTGACCACTATTACAGGTATCTTAACCCAATCATTAGTAACAGTTGCCATAATACAAATATTACATAGGTAATTATCCAAATTTTTGCTATCGATGGGATTTGAACACCCAACCTACCACTTGGAGAGTTGACAACCTGACCACTTCACTAGGTCGCCACACCCAAAGACTTACTTTTTAAGAGAAGATAGATACAAAGAACATTATAATTACAAAAATAGAATAGACTAAACATATAGTGATACAAATTTTGCCTAATTTTTAGAACAAAGAATTGTTTAACATATATTGTAAACAATGTTATGTCATATAGTGGTCAATTATAAATTTGCTAGTTACTGGTCAATTAGTTATTGGTCTGGTCGGTCTGGACAAATTGGTCAAAGATAGGATTACACAAACTAATCAGACCAATCAAACCAATTTAACTATGATTAAATCAGTCTGATCGGTTTGATTGGTTTGTGTAATAATATTAATTTGTAAAAAGACATGGTTACACAGTCCAATCAGACTGATTTGACTGATTTGATCATGGTCAAATTGGTCTGATCGGTTTGATTAGTCTGTGTAACAATATTAATTCATTCCAAATTTTATCTTAACATACTAAAAAAATTTTTTTACAAATTTTAATTTAATTTTACTGTATTACTCAATGCTATTACTAATTATTATACTTTAAAAAAAAGATGTAAAACTAGAGATTAGGCCTGAATAAGGATTACTCAGGTGACCTGTACAAGCACTCTTAATCAGATATTAATTTTGCTAATTAGTTAACCCAGATAATAAAATTTCAGCATGGCTTTAATAGTTTGATAGTTACAGGTTATGTTGTCAGTTAATTTTTATTAATCTGATTGGCTAAGTTTATATGATTCAAAATTTTAAGAATTTTAAGAACCTTCGAAATAGAGAAATTTTGACCAATAATTCAAAATCATGTAATATAGGCTGAATTATAAACTTAATTCTTATCAGTCAATCCAGACAGTTCCTCAAAATTTGGCTGTAAATAGAAATCAAGCAGATTTATTCAATAAATCTGCTCAATTTCTATTGACAGCAACAAGCTGCTGATAAATTCATATCATATACCTTCTCTAGCTCAATCTATTTTGGCAATAATGCTGCAGTGACTTATATCGTATGGCCCAAACTTTGAGGTAGTTGTGCTCAGTTAATTCTCTAGATAATATAATTATTATTACTGTTTTCGAATTAGTGTGATAAGCGAACTTTGTGAATTCTATAAATCCTGTATTTTATTATTGTTAAAACAATAATAAAATACAGGATTCATGAGATTCACAAAGTTTGCTTATCACACTAATTCGAAAACAGCAAAGGATTTAGATTTTCTTCTAAATTTATGAGATTACTGATATTTCTTAATTATTTTTACTCGTTTATCAAAAAAACATTAAATTCTTGCAAAGTATATAAAAATTACCTGGGTAATTATCACTGTTTTTGAAATAGTGTGATCAATGAATTTTGTAAATCCCATAAATCCTGCATGTTACTATTGTTTTACAATAGTAACATGCAGAATTCATGAGATTCACAAAATTCATTGATCGTATTAAGTATACAGTAGATGGATGTCTAAATTCAAAAAGAAAATTAAAACAATTGGCACCTAATGCAAGTGATTTTTGATTTGCTCTCTATAGAAATAATAATATTGATTCCTAACTCTAAATAGGTAAATTGTGCACTTTTCAGAATTATGCACATGATTGAGCAATAATATTTATATTGTTGTAATAACTAAAATTGTTGGTTATTCATGCAAACAAATATGCATTATTCTATAACTAATAAGTTCACATCTTGTTATTATCATTATGAGTAACAAAGTTTTAAAAAATGCTAGAGTTTCTAATTTATTTCAATCTTTAAAATTAATTTATATATATATGTGCCATATACTTCTAACTGATGATAAAAATAAAGGTTAATAGATTGGAAGATATAGAAAAATAATTATCCAATTTAGTATTACAGGATAATTCAAATAATCATTTTTTGTTTCCTTCTCTTTTGAATTTTTCTTTGTAAGTAAATACATACCCATACATAATGTTAAATGCCATTTTGATGTTTTGGAAATAATTTATGAGAATATTTTGTAGATAACAAGAATATGCAAGATATATTTAGTATTCAGAGCTTGTCAATGCCAAGTTTAATGTTAATCTAATGCTAATTAGCTTTTGGACTAAACTGGTTTTATACAAACTTGTTAGACCAATTTATGTTGAATTGGTCAAATATAAAAGCTACAAGGAACAATTAGTATTAGTATCAAAAAAAAATAAAAAAAAATGTTCCAAATTCATACTCATAGATTAACAAGTTATGTCTACATTCAAGATAAATTAGGCCCAGACCAAACAAATAAGCAAGCTATTTGCAAAGCTTGCAAAATTAAAAAACAAACATTTGAAAAGAGAAGAAATAAAGGCCTTGAATTGTAGAAAGTATATCAAAAATATGGATTTATTAATAAGTGAAATCATGTCCAATAACACTAGAGGTGCTGTCTATACTGGCATGAATTTTGGATAAATGAAGACTAAGAAGTAATGATGTATGAAGACCCTAATGAAAATATAACATGTAATGCTATTAGAGCATTGTGACAAGCAAGAGAGTGAAATAATACAGCCATGTTTGTTGTTTCATCAAACTCTAAGACTTCAAACATGTCAGAATTGATGCTTACCAATCATATGTCAAAAACTTTGAGCTCATCTTATATAAATGAAATAAGAAAATTTAAAACAAAAAAGAAAACCTCTACACTTGATTCATATATTGTTCGACTATTATCAACTAACCAACAGAATGAATTTAATCATCTTCTCCTATGATTAGTGGTTCAGAATAGGCTTGCTTTTTGATTTGTTGAATGCAGTACATATTGTAAATTTGTTGATTTTTTTAATCTGATCATTAAAATTCCAAGTCGCAAATTGCTAAGCAGTAAAGTTCTAATTAAATATGTAGAAAAATTAGAACAAAGTAAAATTTCTAAACTTTCTGAATCACAGGAGCCAATTACAATTATGTTTAATAGTTGGAAAAATATGCATTGCCAGGAAATTTTAATTGCCATTATTCTTTCTGCAACAATTAGCTACATATATGGAGTACTGAAGATGGTAGCAATCAAAGACAAAGAACTCCTGATGAATTAAACATAATTAATACTTTTTTGGCATGTGCTAGTAGTCAGAACCTTAATGTGGTGATGATGATCACAGATAGTGCTTCAGCATATGCCTCTGCACAGTATGTATAGATAAAATAAAAGCAAGAAAAAAAAAACTTATTAAAAAAAAATAATATTTGTTTTTAATCTTGTATTACAAAACAATATATACATTTAATTACCAGATGCAGAATATGATTGCAAAGGTGTAATATTACATTTTTCCCATGTTTTGCACATTAGACAAACCTGTGTATTGGTGATATTTTCAAAATTTTGTCTCAATATAAGCAAACACTAAAGCAAGCAATTGAAATTGCATTATATTTTACTAATTAACAGCATTTGAAAGCAATATCATTACTTTGTAATGAGCAACAGAGAATTTACAAGGCAATTTATAGCTTTGTGCTTCTAATTACTACCTATTAGAATTCATATTATTTTTGCTTTGCAACACTTCTAAGAAGCAAATGTGCTTTACAGTCATATTCAATTTTATATCCAAACTTTTCTGAGTTATTAGATAAATTTTGAACTGCTATTAATAGTAATTGATTTTGAGTATATCTTGATGAATTAGTAAAACATCTTCTACTTTTTGTCAGTATCCTAGACTATCTTCAATGTAATGCTGCCAATCTTTTTGATGTTGCTTATGCTTTCGGATATGTAACATAGCAATTTAAAAATGATATAGATGGATTTGGTTATCGAATGCAACAGAAACTTGAAAGAAGATGGGCAGATTGGGAACAACCTCTTCTTTTCTTAGCAATTATTTTTCACCTGCAATATCATGTTCAGGCTTTGTTTGATGCTAATTTTTTTTCTCTTGAAAAAATAATAAAATGGATTGAATATTATTATGAAATGTAGTTTGGTGTAAGGCCATGATGTGTTATATTAGAATTAACTGAATATTACATGAAATGTGTTATTTTTAGTAATGAAAGATTTGAAAATACCATTGAAGCTATTTTAGCAGAGGTTGAAACAAATAATGCAAATGGGCTTGCATTATTGTGATATTGGGAATTTGCAGCAATTGATCAAAAAGAGATTGGTAAAGTTACTTATAGGTTGTATAATATTAAAGTTAACTTGGCACTATGTGAGCATCTTTTTTCTCAAATAGGATAATTTCAAAATTCAAGACACAATCGCCTCAAAGTAAGTAATAATGTATTCAAGATTTACAAATTTATACTTAATAAACTTATCTTGTCGCAGTTACAAATAATCTTTAGGATGACTCAAGTTGCAGCTAAAATGACATGAGAAGAACACTTAAATAATGCTAAAAAAGTTTGCCAAGCCATCATTATAAACCATATTATTAGTTTAGTTAATAAATCAAATGTTGAATCAAGTTTAGCCAATAATTCAAACATTGAATCAAGTTTCATTAATAAATCAAACATTGAATCGAGTTTAGTCAATAAATTAAATGTTGAATTAAATAGTAAATTGGATGGTCTCAATACATCTGGTCATAGCAAAATTATGCATGATAATAATGAAATGCCTAATTCTAATGATTAGGATAGTGATAATAATTACAATAGTGATAATGATTATGGCAATGATGAAAATGAGAAAATAACAAATAAAAAATCTATTATCAAAGAATAGGTCAAAGTTGATGACAATGATGAGAATAAGAATAAGAATAAGAATAAGAAAACTAAAGAATTAAGCATGGTCTCTTTTGATACTACTGACTTATACAATTATTATTCAGCTGAATATGAAGATTCAAAAATTGAACTCCAATATCTTTTTGCATATGATTTATTACAACTATTATTTGTTTGTATTCTCCAACAGTATATTAAAGATAATTTCGTAGTTTCTAATACTAGAAAGTAAATATTTTATTATTATACAAAGTGTAAATTGCATATTTTATTAAAAAATTTGCTGTAATAAAAAAATTTTTTTGTTTTGCTATTAACTTGGGTTTGCAATTTTCTCTTGCTATTGCGTTGTTTAGTTTGATTAATTGCTTTGTCAAAATTTTATAATGCTTTTAGTTCTCGTCATTGCATTCTATAGATTTCATCACACCTAGCCATAAATAAGATAAATAATAGTATGTTTTAAAAAAAGCTCTTGAAATGTGAATAAATGAGTAATATATATTTGAAAATAAACTACATAGTGCCTTTAATAAGGAATTAGCAAACTTGATTCTATAAAACTAAGTATTCAGTACTGTATAAAGATGCAAGCATTTATAGGATTAAAGGTAGTTATTTTTATATATCACTCTTTATGTCATATAAAATTTATATATAATTTAATATGTTATATAAATACATCATGCCAATATGTTATAGTAAATGTTAATTGATATTCTAATGTCCACAGCTTTAGTACTATAGTAATGTATTCACATTTAGTTAGATTAGGTTATACTGGCCAATTTGATCAATTGACCAATTTGATCATGATCAGATTGGTCAAATTTGTCTGTATAACTAAATTGTTTGACCGATTTGACTAGTATTAAGATACTTGAACCAGACAGGTCACTGGTCATATTGATCTGGTCAAATGGTCAAATTGGTCTGGTCAAGCCAACTCTGATTGTAAACAAGATAGCCTTAAATGAAATACAAAGAAAAAACATATATTAAACAAATTTACTTGCTATTAAGTATGAAACAGTATGAGTTAAACAAAATTAATAAGAAACAACATGAGTTAAATAAATTACAAATTACTGTGCTAAAGATTACTTAGCATAAAAGTGCAAAAAGAATTTTAACAAATATAAAAAAGCCAAAGAAATGTCTTCTTTTAATATTAATTTTCTTTATACTTTTTAAACAATCCTCTAATAATCTTAACAAATAACGAACCTATTACAGGACCTACTAACATAAATTACTCTGCAAATCTATTACAAAGCTCTTAAATTACAAAACCTTTGTAAACAAGTACAACACCTAGTTATTATTATCTATGAAGCCAATAATACCATTCTTATTCTTAATATAAAAACCTTATACATATTGTTAACAACTTATAATAATAATCTATTAACAAAAATAAAAATAAATCTGCTCAACAAAGCACCAAGCTAAATTTTTTCTGTAACAGTATCAATAATTATTATATCAATATAGGAAAATTGCTACACCAAGATCACTGATATATACGGTTAGTTACCAGCTCTTTTAACTATAATCAGATATACTATTTGGCTTATAGCTATTATTTAGAAGCTCTATTAATAAACAAATCAGATTATAACAAATTCATAAAGGCAAGTAGAATTAAAGCCTAAACTAAAACCTATTGATTGTTTAAAGCTATTAGCTATGAACAAATATATTGAACAAAAAAACTAACTCTAAAACATATTAGTGATATGAGTAAAACCAAGTTTATTCAATAGTTGATTTTTGTAAATAATACAAAAGTTATAAGAATTTTGTAAAACAAAATTCTTAAGAAGAAAAAAATAAACAAAGTAAATTTTAGCATAGTATATTATATAATAGTAGTAGTAGTTATATATATATTTATTATTATATTTTATATATTATATTTATTATTAGTTATTAGTTATTATTGACTAACTCTTTTCAATGATCATTTGTACCAAATTATTTCCAAACAAAATTGCTTTTTTCTCAAATTATTATTAAGTAAACCTATCTTGGCTGCCTAAGTAAAATTGTTTCTTATAAGATTTTACATATAGGCAGCCTACTTTTATATCTCTAAAAGTATTTATTACTGAGATATAACCAAATTAAACAAATTTCTTTTTTTACTAAATACTAATTATTTTACTAAGTAAAACATAGTAGCTACTTAAAACAAAAAGATTTAGCACAACTTTATCTTCATTTTGATATATTATACTCTCTATATGATCAAAAACTGACAGTTTTATTGAAAAATATATTAAAACTCTCTTACAATTTTTTTTTTTTTAAAATTTAGAAAAATTTTTTCTTTTTTTGAAAGACCCTGACTCTCTAGAGCATCCCAGACCTGTAGATCACTATTACTAATTAAGATTACTAATTAATTTATACAAATCTATTTTTGTTTCATCTATTTTTAAACAAAACTTAATATTACCAATTTTGTTTTAACAAATTTACACAAATTTTGTTTTATGTTGATCACATCAATCATTTAGATGTTACATCAGGTGTTACCTTAAACATTACACACTGTTATCTGTCACATTTCTTATTTGTTACACCACTTATTTGTCACACCTTAATACCAAAAATAACTTAGAAAAATACCTACTTTAACTGACTCTCAAGAACCAGATTCCTATAATATAGACTACTACTACTCTAAATATAAAGACTATTATAGAGTTAAACTTTAAGAATTCAAACTCCAAGCTCTAAAAGTTCTTTTATCAGCAGCTAAACCAGACTATTGTAATGATAAAAAACAACAACACTATTTCAAAGTTCTACTACAACTTGCAATCACAACCTGCCTTTGTGGCAAATTTTATACAAGCTTTACTTCTCAACATTACAAAATTACTCATTTAATCACAATTGGTTAATTTTTAAATCTAACTCAAACTCAAATTAGAAATACTATCTCTTTACAAAGTTTTAAAAAAACAGAAAAACTACCAGTCTTACCAACTTCTAAATCAACTAATCAAATACAACTCTTTTTATTTTCAACAATATATGTTCTTTTTTTAAACTTTCAAACAAACTTAACTTCTACAGCTATAATTGCATACTCACAACACTACCATACTTGTTTTCTCTGCAAACTTAAAAATATTCAATGTGTCTTTATTGACAGTCAACAAAATCATGCTTCAGATTATACAACAATATGCATCTTTAAAGGCTCTCTAATTTATTGTACTTGTATACCATATATTCTAAATTTTAAATTCAAAATTAAACTAACTAAACTAATAACTCCACTTAGCTTTAACTAAAAGAAAGTAATCATTCTTTACAAACTTAACATTATGTTTGCAAAAAACAAAATTCAACTATACAAATTTATTTTCAAAAAAACCAAACTTTCAATACTTTACCAAAGAACAAAAACAAAAATAAACACCTAGAGATACTTCTAATAATCTTGATTAATTCAAAGAATTTTTAATTACTAAAGAAATAAAACATTATACTAAACCTAACAACAAACTAGCTTTACAAATACTTGAATTTATCAAACTACACCTTATTAATATATATCTGAAAAAAATTATTAAACAAGCAACTGAAAATAAACTAGCATTCAAATTTAATTATATATATCTAATTAAAACCTTAGCTGGCCAATAGTCTAAATTTCTTACAGATTTTATTTATGAACATAACCCTTTTATAAACCAATCTTTCACTATTTCTTTTGAACTTATTCATTCTACTCTTATTGCATTACTTAAAGAATTTACTATTACACTCTTTACTCATCTTAATTATCCAAAAATTTTTATCTTATATAACTTAATTTTACCTTATACTACTTTAAATTGAATGCAAGTTGTACTAAATCTAGCTCACTTTCATCTTATTCTTTATAATAAATATAAAACCATTAATACAAAAAAATTCTATGAAGATCTTAAAATCTACCTAATATTCTTCAAACTTTATTATTACATTAGTGAGAATAGCATTAACCAACCTCTTTTTAAAATTCAAAATAATAATAAATTCAACATTAATATATCTTTTAACATCTCGAAACAATAATTTCTTCAAACATTCCAAATTTTATCTCTAAAAGATTACTTAACACAATTCAAAACATGGTTTGATATTTTCTTTAACATTTACAAACAACAATTTATCCAAATTAACAAACAAAAAACATTTAAATTTATCAAATATCAAATTACTTTTAACTTTCTGATACTTATAAAGCCCTTTTACCTTAACAATCTACTATTACCTCTATTAATTCACTATGTAAATGCTTACAACTCTGCTTCAAAGTAGCACTCTATTATATTTATACATGTACTATAAAAAACTATATTATATTACCTAATAATACTAAATACA